TTAAAATTCAGAAAAAAAAAGAGATCATAGAGAAAATGACAACGGAAAAATAAGGTGACAAGGGAACCGATTTCCTTTTTCTAATAGAAAACTTTACATGTGGTGCCACCCACGTATAAAATACATGTGATTATGATTCCCAATTGTCTGATTTGAATGGACTTTTAGTTATAACGTCAAAAGATAGATCCCGGGCATTCTGATCTTTATCAAATGGCTCAAAGTATTTGTTTTCGATCATTTTTTTTTATAGATCATTTTGAGATAAATTTTTGGGTCCCTCTTCTCAAGTAAGGACGCCCCAAATTTCATGTTAAGATGATTTGTAGAAGATTAACTAAAAGCAAAACTATGTTAGATGTGACATCATGATTGAACATATCCTAGCCGTCCATGTAGATTGGATGGTTCAGAATAAAAGTCACATATGTTTTATACGTGGGTGGGGTACCATGTAAAAATTTCCCTTCCATAAATAGCCATTTTTTAATATAATGAAATTATGCCGTCATTCCTTTACCGTGGGCACAAGAGAGGGGATATTTTTTTCTTTCCATTTTGTTTTTTTGAAATAATTCTTTTTACTTTCTTAAACAGTTTTATTCATAAACCATATAAACTCTTTCAATTGAACCATAAAAAAATGGAAGATACTACAAAACGCCCATAGGCGAAAATGAATAGTGATTTCACCTACCCTCATCACCATCCAGACTTCATCGTACGGTCGCAGTTGTCCGGTAGTGTTTCATTTTTCATTTTTTTTTACTAATCTGAATGAGGTGCACCTAATAAAAATATGAAAAAAATAATTTGTAAAATATAAATAGACCAAAATACCTCCATAAATGTTTTGGGGTATTTTGATCAATTTATATTTTGTGAATTATTATTTTCATATTTTTATTAGATGTACCTCATTAAGATCTACACATACTCAAAATTTCAAGCAATTTGGATTTGTAGAAAAACAAATTGAAAAATGAAACACTACCAGACAACTGTGACTATGCGATGAAGTTTGGATGATGATGAGGGTAGACGAAATCACTGTTCATTTTCGCCTATAGGCACAAGAGTTTTTCATATAAAATGTATAAGAAAAAAAAAGAAATTGTGGAAAGTATTAAACTACAATGAGAGAACTTGAGTTCCTTCATATGGCTGTGACGATGCTAAAACTGTAGGAACAAAAGTAGTTGCATAAGTACTTTTTCATGGTTAAAATTAGACAAATTTTTCAAAGTCATGCAAGAAAGGCCAATCTTATTGCTACTAAAAAATAGTAAATTATATTCAGTATATATGAAACCATGCGATGTACCTCCTAAATGAGAAAAGATCATTCTAGAAAAGAAAAAGAGAAGCCAAATGATTTTATCCTCCAGCAGGAGCAAACTGTCCATTTACTTCCTCGGGCAAGGACTCAGCCAGGAGTATCTATAATACCAAATTTTTTTGGGATTTATCCTCTAGTGCCTATTGACTAACTCCAAAAAAAAAAAAAAAGAGACAAATTCAAATACGCACTCTATGAGACTGAAAAGCTTTTTATCACACAATTGAATGAACACCATCTAATCTTTGGACAACAAGATCTAATTGTCAAAGAGCTGATTATAGATACATATTTCTTTTTTTTGGGTTGAAATGAAGAAAAGAATTACAGGCAGAAATACATTTCAATCCTAAAATTTAGATCCAAATACAAGAAATGTTTCATTTCACTTCCAAGTATCCATACGGCACCTTAGGGTCTGAAATGCATTTCGAATCATTGTAGACTCATGTGGGCTTTTGATCCATGAGTTTGATGCCCCAAAACGAACACATATCCGATGACTTTTGTGGAATCAAAATGAATGGCCGACTTTTCTGGAATCAAAATGAATGAGCAAAAATAAAAATAAAGGCGCAAAACATTTTTGTTTTATAACTCAAACTTCAATTTTATCTTTTCATCGCGGTGGACGTGCAAAATTTTTGATGCACACTCCATCTTTAATACGAAATTTGGAAATGAGGACTCATGTTATTAGGTGTGATCCTGAAGCACCTAAACCCTAATCCAAACCAAAACTCAGTCAAAGACCATGTTTTATCCTGGTTACCAATATTGTTATGGGCAAGCTTTCTATGTTTCTCCTACAGGATAAAACTTATATATTTCCCCTTATCCAACGTTCCCATAGTGAATGGAGAGCTGAGATTGTCCCAATCACCATGTTGTCTTTACACTATTTTATTTTTAATTTTTTTATATAAACTATTTTGACACCAAAATTTGGACGTCTAATCCTCTATTAAACTCGGACTAGCGAAGAAATATAAAAAAAATTATTTTCAATAAAATAAAATGATCAAAATACCCTTGAAAATTTCAAGGGGTATTTTGGTTATTATATTTTATCGAAAATTTATTTTTAATATTTTTTAAAGGTGCGCCCCAATAAAAAAATGGCACATACCAAATTTCATATTCATACCATTTGTATAAAAAAAACTAAAAATAAAATATTTTGAGACGTCGAATCTAAGATAAAACGATGAGTGACTCTCTTAATCAAAATTGGAGGCTGAATAATAGGGGAAGCATAGATCTTCTATATTGTAAGGGAAGTATAAAAACTTTTCCCAATTGTTACGGTGTCTCTTAACTTGTAATGTTAGTATACTTTTAGAATAAGGTAAAAGTTTGGTTCCTTATAAATGATAGGCAATCCTCTCTCTCTCTCTCGATTCTATTTCATGTAGTAGAGTAAATAAGCCTTGGCCAACCACTTAAATCGGCTACTAAAATTGGGTTGGTAGTGGGGAATGATTGAGATCAATAATGTTACCTAACCATTACACTTACAGGAAACAACCAAATTTATGTCTGCCATAAAATCGAAGCCTAAGAGATTAGTTCTATTGAAAGTTATTTTGACCAACAAGACCCTTGAGACTCACAAACTTACGAAATAAAAAAAGTTCCCTTGCATTCCACCATACTTTCCTTACATTCAATAGGAGTACCAATTCTTTGCATAACGTTTAATTTTAGCTAATCTATTTACACAAATGAAACGGTACATGTTTTTTTTTTGTTTTTTGTTTGGTAATTCCGGGGAAGACAGCCCCTACCAGTTTTTACGAAGTAAAAAGCTTACATTGCACCGAACCTTAAACAATAAAATTAGAGTCTATCTCAAAAATTTCACTAAAAGAGCTTGTTTTGATGCTCAAATATCCTTAAGATGAATGGACATAAGAAAAAATGGATTTCAAGTTTTGGTAATAGTACATCTTGTAACGAATTTTTGGATTTTCGCTTTCCAAGATTTTCAAGTTTTCATAGATTAGCTTGATCTACATTATTTTTGAAACTTTAAATTTTATAATTAAAAATAAAAAGATATTTGAAAGCTATCACAACGATTTCCAGTATAAAAACCATATTTCTCGACACTATTTGAAAGCAGGCTCTAATTTGATTGTTTAAAGCCTCAGCTCTATTCAAACCGCACCCTTTAACAAATAGTTTGGGAGTTAGTTTTTTTGAAGGCAATAATAGGGTGGCGTCGGTAGAAATAAAAACCACAACATGTTGAGTAAGGTGTAGGGGTGCAACCACCATGAACCCAATCCCTTTCCTAAGGTACATAGTTCCTTTTGCTTGGAATTTTTTCTCAATACACTTTTTTTAATGAAAATGACAAGCACGTGCATTGCTATGTATCATTCATATAGAATCTAAATGGAAGTAATATTCCACCAAATTATTAAAATTTTTATGGTATTTTGCAACCCAGTTCATGAGATACCTGGTCTTGCGCAGATAGCATAACACTGGCTCTCAATTGTCTTAAATCGACTAATTTGATATTTCTTAGGTATTTCCTAAATTATTTTGTTGCCAAATTGCCAAGCACCTGTACCTGTTCCTATTCGTGTTCAAATTCAAAAGTTTTGGTGTAGGAACCCAGAACATGCAGGTGTATTTTTACACGTTTTGATTGTAGAGATTTTAGAGTATCAAGTTTACTAAAATGTCCCCACTTGCTTCGAGGTTCTAAACCCAAAAACATTTTTTCTTTTTTTGCTGAAAAAGCATGAACTTGATTTTTTAACCTCGAACAAGGAAGAGTACTTTGGCCATTTGATTCAAGTAATCTCAGTTATTGGAATTACTAAAATGTCCTGACCTAATCACTGTTACTGGAAACGAGAGTGCTATTTTTAACAAAATCCTTGAAGGCGTAACTTGACTTAGGGATTTCCAAAAAGTACCTGTTTTTTCCGTAAAAATAATTGAATTTAGCACCTCATTGTTTGACTAATAACTTTTATGGAGATTACATCCCCACTATTTTATTTCTGTCTTATATTAGAAATAGGTCGCCTTGAACCTTCATAAAAATGAGGTCTGAATGGGCAATTGATATTATCAAGCAGTCCGATGATTAAAAATCCGACCTGGGGCAAATTTGTCAAAAAAAAAAAGAAATTCTAGGGATCTGTCTTTCTGAGTAATAGCTGACTATTTTAAGCCCTTTTCGTTATTATGATGGTTTAAAAAACCGGTATGGACGCAAATTTCCCTGAGTTTTACTTCTTATGGAGTACGTTATTTATGCCTGCATGAGCAGTATTTACCGCTAATATGATTACATGACTCCAAGAAATGTTTTGGTGAATGGTTTTTGGGGTTCTAAGAAAATGCAGCGATTTTCAACTGGGATGAAAACTGATATTTTCTCAGTTTTCCTTGCTTCGAAACCAGGTGTCAAACCAGTGCAGCAAAGAATCAACAAGCATTGAGCATGACTATCAGATTTTTTTTGTTTTCGGTAGATCAGTGGTAGGAATCGAACTTGAGATGCGGCGCCGCTAAACATCAGCAGCTAACCACTCAAGCCCAAACCCAATTCCTGTTTTTTTTTTTCGGTTGGTTGCCAATCAGTATTCTAGCATCACTTTCTGTGTGAAACCCCAAACCTAGTATAATGCCAAAATTATTGCCAGAAATAACATAGACAAGTATATAAAGAAGCTAAATATCAACCTGATAGTAGCATGAATACAAGTCCACCTTCAACACATATTCAGCAACTATTAACAACAAGAGATCACACCGACATGAAATTTTTTCAAAACATGAAATGGCTTAAAGAAGCACTAAACCAGGATCATCCATGTCATTAGAGCTCTGCCACTGGTTAGTACTTGTGGAACCAATTACTTGAACAAAAAGAAGAGCCCAGGGTCTTTTATTTAGGTTGCTGGCATAGGGAAAGACTAGAAATGGAAATATGGAGGTGGATGATAGTATGGTGGGGGCTTCTTAGGAGGAGGCTTTAGAGGAGGGAGCTTCTTTGGTGGTGGTTTCATGACTGGCGGAGGCTTTAGAGGAGGGAGCTTCGGAGGAGGCTTTAGAGGAGGGAGCTTCTTTGGTGGTGGCTTGTAGGAGAGGGGGGTCTCCTCTTGGATCTCATCCTCAGTAGTAGCAGGGTGACCAGGGTACTTCCCATAAGGAGGCAGTTTCTTAAATGGTGGTTTCTCATATGGTGGTGGCTTGTAAATTGGAGGTGGCTTCACAATGGGGGGTTTCTCATATGGTGGTGGCTTGTAAATTGGAGGTGGTTTCACAATGGGGGGTTTCTCATATGGTGGTGGCTTGTAAATTGGAGGTGGCTTCACAATGGGGGGCTTCTCATATGGTGGCTTGTAAATTGGAGGTGGCTTCACAATGGGGGGCTTCTCATATGGTGGCTTGTAAATTGGAGGTGGTTTCACAATGGGGGGCTTCTCATATGGTGGCTTGTAAATTGGAGGTGGTTTCACAATGGGGGGCATGGGGGGCTTCTCATATGGTGGCTTGTAAATTGGAGGTGGTTTCATAATGGGGGGCATCTCATATGGTGGCTTGTAAATTGGAGGTGGTTTAAAAATGGGGGGTTTCTCATATGGTGGAGGCTTGTAAATTGGAGGTGGTTTCTCAAATGGTGGAGGCATGTAAATTGGGGGTGGTTTCTCTAGTGGGGGCTTCTCATATCCAGCATTTGAGCAAGCGGTGAGAGCCACCAGCCCAAAGAGCAACGCCAGTAGCTTAGTGCTAGGCACCATGTTTGCCTTTGTTGCTAATGCTCTTGGCTTGATGGCCCTTTTATAGCTAAGTAGACCAATTAGAGCGTGCCACGCGGCAATTCACATTCCATTAGGCTACTAGGATCTTATTCCTTGAAGGGGTAAAAATTACCTATAATCAAGAATGATGATAGTACCTAGTAGTTATCATTGGAGCTCTATAGGACAACATTGAGCTGTGCACCATTGAGGGTCCACAGAAATTGCAGTTTATAACATGAATGGTGACATGGACGTCGAGGTTTATCATAGAGAAATGGGCCACTGCTTAAGTCGGCAAGTGATACTGTTTTTGTGGACTTTGGAGGTGGCATTCACATTGGAGAGTGACGGTTTCATTTTTTCACTTGGTGTGGTTGGTGAGGGCCTACACTTTACGGTAAAACGTAAAACAGCACCTCACACCCCATTGGAAAATGTGGGTTTGTTTTTAGAAATCTATTGCTTAGAATGCTATTTTTCTCACTAGTTAAATGGGTGCGGTTTGTATGGCTAAACCATCAAATTAGAGCCCACCTTCACCTAGGCGTGGTTGGTGAGGGCCGACACTTTACGGTAAAACGTAAAACAGCACCTCACGCCCCATTGGAAAATGTAGGTTTGTTTTTAGAAATCTATTGCTTAAAATGCTATTTTTCTCACTAATTGTGAAAATGGGTGTGGTTTGTATAGCTAAACAATCAAATTAAAGGCCACTTTTACCTAGGCATGGTTGGTGAGGGCCTACACTTTACGGTAAAACGTAAAACAGCACCTCACGCCCCATTGGAAAATGTAGGTTTGTTTTTAGAAATCTATTGCTTAGAATGCTATTTTTCTCATTAGTTATGAAAATGGGTGCGGTTTGTATAGCTAAACAATCAAATTAGAGCCCACCTTCAAATAGTGTTGAGGTTTCATCATTGAAAATATTTGTGATAGCCTTAAAATATAATTTCATCTCTAATTATAAAATTTAAAGTTTAAAAAATAGTGTAGATCTAGCAGATCTATAAAAACTTGAAAATCTTAAAAATGGACGGTCTAAAAATGTGTTACAAAATATACTATTTACAAAACTTGAAATCCATTTTTTTTCATGTCCATTCATCTTGATGTCGAGATGATTGATTTGACGATATGTGCCACTTCTAGTAAAAATTTTGAGGTAAGCTCTAATTTGATTGTTTAGAGCCTCGGCCTTATATAAACTTTTCTCTATGAAAATTGAAGCTCTAGAAACAAGATCTAGTGGATCTATGAACACTTGAAAATGGATAATCAGACCAGTCTTCGAATTCGAAATTTATTTTTTCATAGCCATGATCAATGAGGTTGATATTACCAACTTGGGGTTTTATGATGCTGGAATTGTAATTTCCAATAGGATGTTTGGATAGAGCTGAGGATCTAAACTATCAAAGTAAAGCGAACTTTCAAATAGTGTTGAGAAATATGGTTTTAATGTTGGAAATCTTTGTGATAGCCTTAAAACATATTTTCATATCTAATTATATAATTTAAAACTTCAAAAATAGTGTAGATAGAGTAGATCTATCAAAACTTGAAAATCTTGAAAATTGACGGTCCAAAAATGCATTACAAGATGTACTATTCCCAAAACTTGAAATCTATTTCTTTCTCATGTCTATGTATCTTGAGGTCGAGATGATCAATTTGAGGATCTTTGACATCAAAACATCTTCTAGTAAAATTTTTTAGTGCAGCTTAATTTGATAGTTTAGAGCAATGGTTTAAAAAATGGATCAGTGACCCAGATCGGGCTTCCAAAAAATCGATCCGGATCAGCGAATCAGCGATCCGGATCGGGAATCGGGTGAATCGGTTAGAATAAAGCTTAAAAAAAATCCAAAAAAATTATTAAAATTCATTATAAATATTGTTTTCTAGGAATTCAATAAGAAATGAAGGTACTCCATTAAGAATTTTCATGTTTTTTAATGAATATGCAAATATTGATATGTTTTTTCCCTGCATGAACCGCCATTCAGCATTTAATTTACATCACACAAAAGGATAAACATATAATTATCATGGAATAAGTATATCAACATACATGGACTACAATAAAGCATAAAATTAGTAACATATGATCTAAAAATAAAATGATAGACGACGTTATTGTTCTTCTTGGTCACGCTGGTGCCATTGATTGAATTCGTTTAACAATTCATTTATTCGATCTAAAAACGAATCATCAATATTAGCAGGCGTCTGACTATTCCCAAATCCCTGAGTGTTAGTGTTTTGTTGTGTTCCCAATCTAAAATCCTCGAAGATTGTCCATCCTTCATGCTCA